AGCCGCTCCTGCCGCTATGCCCGGCACTGGTTCTCTGACAATGGAGGAGGTGATCACTGCCCAGAAAGGGTGGGCAGATGCGATCAAAAACATCTCAAGGACCTGACCTAAGTATCTCAACCCGGACCTCCATTCTGGAGGTGTAAGCAAAGACCTAGAGCACAGAGTCCGCAGCATGTCTCGAAGCATTGGTCCTAGAGTTCCCGAGCTCCAGGACCTACTTGGACGGCGGGGATTACGTGGCAGTGGCCGCAAATGCAGCCGGCGAGCTCTACGGATATGGCCACGGCAATGTGCTTTTCAAGCCAACCAAAGCCAAGGATGTTCAATTCCGCCCTGAGGCAAGTCAGGCCATGTCTTACTTCGTAGGCGCCGACGCTGTGACTGGTGGCATCTCGGAGGACCACGGCTTCGCAATCAATGGCGGCAAAGGTTGGTCCGATGTTTTCTTTGACAACCACCAGATCGACTTGCACGGCAATCTGGCACTTGCCATGGGTAACTACATCTTCACATCTGCAGAGGACCGAAGCATCAGCAAGGTGGAATACACCTTCGGCTACAGGAGAGCTGGGGTTCGGAGCCCACCCCCCATACTGTACCCAAAGCAAAACGAACCACAGTTTAGGCATTGAGCTCGCCTGATCCTGTTCGGGTTCATTCCTTTGATGCACCCTGGCCCTTGCACAGGAAGTGTCAGGATGGCAAAGTGCGCATTTGTCTTCACCACTCGTCCGTGCCATATGAGCACACCGCCGCACCAGTTTCCATGGAGGAGGTGAAAGCGGCCCAGAGGGCATGGGCGGAAGCAATCAAGAACATTTCCAAGGCATACTTGGAGGGTGGGGACTATTTGTCAGTTGCCAATCGTGCAGCCGCTGATCTCTATGGCTATGGCCACGGAAATGTCCTCTTCAAGCCAACCAAAGCCAAGGATATGCAATTCCGCCCTGAGGCAAACCAGGCCATGTCTTACTTCGTCGGCAACGACGGGATGGGTGGTCAAGGAATTGCTGAGGACCACGGCTTCGCAATCAATGGCGGCAAGGGTTGGTCAGACGTGATGTTCGACAACCACCAGATCGATTTGAATGGAGATCTGGCGCTTGCGATGGGCAACTACTTCTTCAGCGACATGGATGGCGGCATCCACAAGGTGGAGTACACATTCGGATACAAGAGGTGCCAGGGTCGGGATGAGATTCAAATTTTGAATCAAGCACTGACAAACGCATGCAAAATGTTTGAGGCAGTCTGTGTCCAAGCACATTGTTGAAATGCAGGTTGCGGCGGTATAAGGTGGATTGGATAGAGCATGTTGTGCTCAAGCATGTTGTGACCACATGCCTGCAAGCAGATCCTCCCCAAAGCCTCGCACAGGGTAGTGTCCAAATTCTGCTGAAGTAGACCTGGAGGTGCCTCGACGGGAAAGTGCGCATTTGTCTCCACCACTCGTCCGTGCCATATCAGGGATCTCCGGAATCCGCCGAGTCTGGACACATGAGCAACATGTCTGCTACGCCTATGCCCGTGGCGGCCGCATTTGTGGGATCGTCTGCCACTTGTCAGGGAGGTACATGTTGTCGGTTCAGTGGTGTCATGCAGTGCAGCCAGGGGCTCCGATTCCCACTGATGATTTATTCTTGAGCTTTTCGCCCTATTTCCCACAAACGTCTGTGTGGCTGCAGCGCGGACACAGCGGCATGAAATCCGCCTGCAGACCTTTTCAAACCACCCACTGGTACCCACTGAAACGGGGCTTTTGCTGCTGCGGAGGTTTCTTGACTAAGAACTGTTCCTTGTCGACCGAGGTCCCTGCAAGTACCCCATTGCGCCATTCTATGGGCTTCGCGTATTCCGCACAGAAGGAGCCGCGGTGCTGGGATGGTTGGAGAATGTCTGCATGCAATGGAGGGTCTTTGAACAGACACCTTCGCTGAGTTTGCCAGCTGTTTGTAGGTGTCAGCTTGCAGAACTTATGTGAACTGCAATTACTGCAGTCAGGCGGGTGTGAAGTTGAGACTCCTAGCAGAAGCCATTGTTGGTTCTGTAGCCAAAATGTCCGTGCTGAGAAGCGAGACGCTGGCGCCCAACCACGCCTTGGTAAAGCTTCCGCGGGGCTAGGCGACAGCAACCCCAAAGTATTGTGGAGTGACTCAATCCCCCGAGTGTTTAGTGCAGCGACCCGTAGAAACTGCAGCGCCGTCCGGACCGCCTGGACCGTGCGCCCGTTTAGACAAACCGAAGACATCGAAGTGGAGATGAGCCTCCGAAGAACCAAGCGAACGACGGTTGAAACCAAAAATGCTGCGTGAACTTCGGGGCCTTGGCACTGCACTGGTCACGCTTGGCCAGGATGCCTATGCAGACTTGGAGTTTGGCAATGATGCCGCTTGGCGTGGCTGAAAGCTAAAGCCGGATGCATTAAGGGCTCGGCGATGATCACCGGAAAGATAGCAAGTTTCATTGCACAGGTTGGCTATTTGCCGGACGGCACACCCATGAACATGGCGGGCAACTGCATCAATCATCCCGAGACAATTGGACCAGACCCACATACACCAGGCGCGGAAGTCCTATCTATCTATCTGTCTATCTATCTACCTATCTATCTACCTGTCTATCTACCTATCTATCTATGTACCTCTCTACCTCTCTACCTACCTACCTACCTACC